AAAAAAAAGGAATAAGAACTAACTTACGCTAAATGACAGAGAGAAGAAAGAGCTTCCCCACGAAAGCCGTAGGTTTCAACACAACTCAGATCATCAAAGGTGCTTAGCTTTGAAGTGCAATATTTCCCAGCTAAATAATATGACTTAAAGCAATTTTGAACTTACTGAGACCCTCAAAATCTTCTTCTCTTATTCCAACACCGTTATCAATTACTTCGATGGACTCACTGCCATGACCTCTTAGCCGGATTTCTACGATTGAAATGTTTACGAAGAAAATAGACAAACCTATTTTAGAAGACTTTGCGTCAATACTATTTTCCAGGAGCTCTTTTACAGCAGAAGCTAGAGTTACTACGACCTGACCAGAACATATTTTGTGGACCAGATTTTTATCCAGTCGCGAAATAGTGGATATGTCTCCGTCCATTGAATCCATGCTGTCAAGCTTAGTATTAAATGATCAGTAGCTTCATGCAAACTGATTCAGTTATAAAAATAGGTAATGGGTCACTTCGACAGTAAGCTAAATAAAAGAAGGAACAAAAAAGACTTTTTACCAGTAGATCGGCTAAACAGAGCTTATATGAATGAGACTTACCGACCGATATGTCTTCGTTCACAACGTTTAGATATTGAAATTTTAGGCACTAAGCTATAAGCCTCAAACGCTTCATCTGAGTTCTGTTTTATCAATAAGTTATTTCTTCCACCCATTACTTATGGATACATGTTAAGCTTTGATATGTGATTACCACGGTGAAATACTTCCATTTTTAACCTACACTTGCTTATGCTGAGTGTCAATCAAGTACCCTTTGAATGAACAACTTCCCGTCAAACTATTTCAAATTAGCGAGAGACTACAAAAATCTGAGTTGCAATTAAAATTTTAAACAGATTTCGTAAATCAGACATGCGAAATCACTGCCAAATACTAATGACATTTATTTGACTGCAGAAGCCTAAATATATCTTGAATAACGGATCACTAATAACATAAAGATGTAAATGGGATACATTGGTTTACAAGTATGTGATACGTTGGTTTCAAACCAATGACTACGACGTTCTCTCAGTTTTTACAGAGAACGTCGACGGCTATTTACTGCCAAAAGCCGATTTTATTGAGAGCTATAAGTGGATATTTAAGGCTATACCCCGTTAAGACATAAACCCAAAGCTTTAATGCGTCACACAGTTGTTATTTATTAATTTACTAGTTTGAACAGCTTACTTTCAGTACCAGAGTTAGTAAACATTAGGAAATCTCAAATCATTAGATGCTTAGCAACAGGATTATCAAGCTAACTGTCGTACATTTTGAGGAAGGAACAAACTACTGATGTGATGGTTTTTTTAAACAACGGAATCTTGGTTTCAATCTTGTCAAATGAGTATATGGGTAACACTTGCGTGCCGATCTATGATGCATATTTGCACTAAAACGCCAACCTTATTCTAAATATGCGTTTTTCACAAACTACATAATAATCGAAAGAGATGTTTTTGATCAGAATTTACAAAGTGAACATGTTCTGAACAACATCGACCATTGGTTAGTTTCGCATATGTGTACGATTAATCTCAAAGACTGATGGTATAAAAGTGGGTCATATATACGAGTTTAAACAACCAACCCTTAGTGACAACTGTTTCAATGTGAAGGTAGAGGGTCTTCAGCACACAAAGGGATTTATGTCTGAGATATTTGACTTAAACCTTAAAAAGAACCTTTACACAACATCGCAACGTACCATTTTGTAGTTTAGGCTAAAATTGTTTCCCTGACTTTAAAATAGATCTTAATACTTTGTTATCCTATTCAAAAACCAAACTGTTGTTTTTTTTCAACTGGAAACTACACATGAAGTTGAACCTCTCTCCGGACAAATGCTAAACCTTTGATGTAGCTGTCGTAGTATCCAAAAATCATTACTCAAATCCCCTGAAAAACATCTAACAAACTTACTTTATTCACTGAAATAATACGTGAGGAAGATACTGGTCAAAGTAACACCTACCTCAAATTATCGCTTTTTGAGCTTCCAATATCCAATATATTTCAACACAGACATTACATGTCCGAGTCTTATTGGCAAACTATCGTTGATCAATTAATTTAGTGAGCTCCCTAGTTTTAAAGAAAGGTTTTAAATTATTGATATTGTCTAGTATGGACAATGAAGCTAACTGACCTTATAACCCTAGTGCATCCGACAGTCGATGTAAATATTATCGTGACCACAAATAATATTATATAGCACCAGGGTTGCGAAAACTGGGAGCTTTTATGTTTTAGGGAGGTTAGCTGGTAAGTTGATGTATGAGAGACCGAAGAAGCAGAAAAGAAGCAAGCAGAGCGAATAGAAGTGCCAAGGCAAAAAAACAAATAGAACACCATTACCAATTAGTTAAAAAGTGGCGTCACAAGTAGCTAGACGAGTACATAAGGACGGCAGATGAAAAAAACATGATAATAGATAAGTCGTTATCCGGGATTTTTTAGCTGAAGGCTCTCGGTCATGCATCGGCACCATATCGCAAGTGAGAACGCCGTGCCCAACTTCCCCTGCATTCTCTGGCCGGATTAGATCAGTCGATTCTCGATATATTGATAACCAAGCAAATATATTTTCGAATCTCCTCGCATCTGACTTTTGACTTCAATTGGTGAGCACAATTCATAACAAATGTTACTGGTAAACACGTTGTCAAACTCCAAATACCTGTAACATCTTCACCTGCATCCCTGTTCTGTTGATTGATGTGGATAGTTGGTGAACCGTACTCGAACGCTAATAAAGTTGTGCGCATTGTATCCCGGTTTCTCGAAAGCTTATGAGAGAATATTTCATCTCTTTTTTACTAATAAGTCGGAGTTGATCTAAATCAGGTCACCACTGACTGGCTAGTTTATGTCAGATGTAATCAAATGACGTTGTAATATTGGGTATGACTTTGGTCTTTCTAGGGCTACAGAATGACCCCTTCTGGTCCTTCAGGATTTAGTATTAGGATCTCTTCCCCTTCTGCATTTGCAAATGTGTTTTCTCATCAAGTATCATTTGTAGTATAACTCTTTGCAGATGTCGAGTTTTAAAGAGAAATTGATAAAAGCGGGATTGTAGAATTATAGTCTACTATGATATTAGTACTGCTCTAATAATAGACCTAATCCTAAAATCGTAGACTTTTTATTATATAACTACCTTATCGATAAGATCTTACGTGGAAGTCACATTATCGTCTACACCAACTCACTGTATCGTAACAATTACCAATACACGATGGAGAACAAGCTTAGGCTATAGAAAGAACAATATATTTAATATGAATAAAAAATTTAAGGTGACATTTAACAAGAAGAACGCCTGAAAAGCTCAGCCATGCCATTCGATCAACCTTAATTCATTCAACCACTTGTTCCCGCCTTCTTCATCGTTGGATGTTTCTCCGCGTTAAATATTGAATATCTCTTTTTCGAGTAGTCTCGCGTTCAGCTTTGACGATTGTGTGGATATTGTCCAGTGCCACCACAAGATAATAAGCTGTAAATGCAGGACAGTCTATCAATAATGAATCGATATTCAATAGATCATAGGGTTATTTAGTCTGTTTGAGACAAATAACAACGTAGTCGGCCCTCTTCAGAGTTATCTCAGGTGGTGAAACATGAACATGTTGCAGTACATTAGCAATTATGAAGGGCGTTTTTGATCAGTTTTGCAGAATTTTATACCTAAATTTTAACTAAACTTCAGCTCCATTTATAATGTTTCCCTTTTCCCTACATAGGTGCCCCATGACTTAAAGTCTTACGCTAACTGTGACAAAAATGCCTTCCGAGCAAACCTTGCACTGGTAACGTTGAAGCGCATTTTTGGCCAGTTTGACGGAAGAACTTTCCACACAATCTTCAATAGTTTCATCCGTCCCCATTTAGAGTACAGAAACATAGTACTCCCCCCCTCACTCCATAAGGACAAAGTCACTTTGGAGCGTATCCAACGGCGAGCCACGAAATCAGTTCGAGGACTCAAATCTAAACCTTACGAAGAACGCCTCCGTTCACTAGACCTTTACCCACTAGAATATAGGCGTCTTAGAGGTGATTTACTAATGGCTTATAGCATTCTTAACACTTCTGGACATCCTCTTAAACACCTACTTAAGCTTAGTTCGAATAATAACCTAAGGGGTAACACCCAGAAACTGGAAACTCAACATAGCAAGACGGAATGTAGACACAACTTCTACTCCTTAAGAGTTGTCAAAAGCTGGAATTCGCTGCCGGCCGAGCTAGTCCAAGCGACTTCTCAGGAGTCCTTCAAGAGGCAACTTGACCTATTCTTAAGGACCAAGGACAGCATCACATTTTGATTTACCAATTTCTTTTCCTTTTTTATTGTTAACATACCTAGGTTCCTGCCTGGAGGATTTGGTGATCCCCTGCTACTAGACACGGAAGCCTGTTAAGCGAAAGCTTCTTCTATTCCGTCCACAACCATTTGAACCATTTGAACCATTTAGGGGTAATAATACCCTGGAACAGATCCAAAATTAAGCAACAAATTCACTTCGAAAATTTAAATTCAAACCTCATTAAGATCGTCTCAAACCACCTGATGCTTACCCAATAAACAATGGATGACTTAGGAGGGACCGTTTTAGTACGTATAGGATAATGAATACTCCTTAAAATCCTTTCGAACTTATTGCCAGCTGATATGTTCTAGGCAACTTGATCAGTGTTTTTTAAGAGGAAACTCGACATATTCTGAAGGATTCTGGACAGTATTTGATTCGTACTGACTAACATGTCACTTCTTATCTATTATACCTAGATTAAAACCTGTGAACATTAACGACTCATTGCTTCTTGACACAGCATTCCATTTCGTGAAAAATTCTTTAATTTCCTTTACAATCATTTGAACCATTTACAGAAATAGTTTGAATTCTTCAGAGATCCATATGTTCTGCTTAACCTTGAAATTACCTTGTAAAGGCGGGCCCTTCGATTCTTAATCTTTTAAGATGGCCTCAAGAGTTTAGTGGATAGTATTCATTGAGAATGATTCAGTTGAAATTATCCGATAGTGACATATGTGAAAGACGAAAGGCACAGTTAAAGGAATGGTGTGGTTCAGAGACCGATCATGCGTCGTCAAAAATGAGGGAGCCGGAGAAAATCAAGTTTCCATTATCGGTTCAGCTACTTGCCGCATGTAGTAACAGTGATTTGGATGAATTTTCCCGTTTACTTAAGCTTGGAACGGACATTAACACGCAAAATGCTGATGGATTAACCAGCACACACTTAGTATGTCGTGGTTTTCTTCAAATCTCTTTTACTATAAGGCCTGTATCAATGTCGACTTTGATTTTTTAAAGTTTCTTATCAGAAATGGTGCGGATATCAATCTACAGGATCACGAAGGTTGGACTCCTTTGCATGCAGCAGCTTCTGTGGGTTGCTGTGAACTAGCCAGGTTAGTATTCCATGTGTTGGCCGATAACAAGCATTAGGATTTGTACTGAATTTGTGTCCACTAACAGTTACATTTTTGCATTTATAGTTTGCTCTCTAGTTACTGCCAGAGTTCTGTATATTTAAAAGCGTAATGGTTTGGACTGACACATTTCGTTTTATGATATACGGGTCCTAGCTTAAACCATTACTCGATCCAGTCATTAGTTATTTTGGCGAGACTATAATTTATGGACGACCTTTGAACAAATCGTAAGTGACCTTTGGAAATATTAGTTAATCACTAAGCAGTCAGCATGGAGTAAAATATATTTTACAAAACCAAAGAAATAAAGTGGATGCTCTTATTGTGCATCGTTAAGAAACTTGACAAGTTTAGAAAGAGATTCAGAGGTTCTAAAATCCTAATGCATGCAGCAGAGGGAATCACCCACATGGCTACAAAATACTCGGCCACTGGAGCCATGATAAATACGCAAAAACTTCCAGCCTTGACCACAGCCTCAGTATTGTTTGTGTGTACTCCGGTTGTTGAGTACGCAAAATGCCACTTATGGATAACGTCACGATATACATATGTAGGAGTCTGTACGCTCTCCAATCATTCGTATGCACTGTAGTACCTACTCTCAACAAGTGTTACTGGCGCTTTCATTATCCAGTTCGCAACAATTGTCATAATTTGCCTTAGTTAGGAATTATATATAGAGTTTTCATCACGAACTGACGTCAGCTATAATGCCAAAACTCTATTTAACCAAATGGGGATAAGATCTTTGCGCCAAAATCCGAGGTCTTTTATCTTATACCCGATTGGTTCGTCCACAAATTATAGTCTGGCCGTTTAATTTGTTATAGGCGCTCAGTTATCACATTTTGTATAAAATTTCCTGTTAACCGATCGCACGTTAGCACTAAGTTCTGAAGTTGGTGCTGTTACCTTGGAATCCCTCAAACGCTTTTGAGTAGCTCGTCCACAAATTATAGTCTTGCCGTTATTTTATTTAGTAATTCCAATCATGTGTGTTCTCACCATATGGGTTATACGGATTGAGACACTAGATATGTTTTTGATGGTTTGCAGTAGATTACGTATTTGTTGTGCTTTTTCAATGTAAAGTTAAACATTACTTGTAGTTTTCACTTGTTGGGAATTTACCTTCCCCTGTCCCAGTGTCTCATCATATCCTTAATGGACATAAGGAAATGCAAGTTTAAAAACGAGTTTATTATTAAGATATGGAGTAGCTTTTCGTTCATCACCAATAAGCCCCGTCCTATATATTATCCGAGATTTCAGAAACAACTTTATATGTCAGGCGGCATTCGTGCTTTGGATTGTGAATATAATGTGTATTTCGTGCTAAATGACTGCAAGTGCTAAATTTTAAGTGCAGTTTCACGTATAGACTAACTACTTTCGTAGTTATTTTTATTGTTTAATGGTTCATCGTTAACCTAAGGTAAAGATAGAGATTTGTCGATAAAGGCCAACTTCAATGCTTCACTATAGACTTATGTTTTGAGCCACCAGTTGGATCTTTTTCAAACCAAAAAGAAAGAACGTTACATGTTGAGTTAAGCAGTCTAGTTACAGCTATCAGCACTGACGTTTTTCTGCAAAAGTTTTCATACTTTCGGATTTTTTTGAGTATGATTTTTGCAAAACTCATAGGTCTTGCAAGTACAGAGCAATCTTTTTGTCACCATTTTTGATATCGTTCTTTATGATTCATTTTAGGACCTATTAAGAAGTATAGACTGTCGTTTTTAACAGTTGCTAATGTATTTTGTCTTTTACTTGATCTCCGAAACCCCGTCACCCCGTCTTGTAGTTTCCTAGTCTGTATTCAAACCAAAGTAACCTCAACTTAGTGTAGCTAGGTGGACTGATAATTTTTTAGTGATTGACCAAACATATGTTGCGGGCTTATGGTGATGCATGCAATAATGTTACTGAATTTCCCACTGAGTCCTAGTGATTTATTCTGCGATACTGAACAAATGATGAATTCTACATTTCCCTGTGAGTCGATTAATCTCAGATAATTTACTCTGATTAGGTATTGTAGGGGAGAAATAAAAGTAGCTAAAATAAGTAACTATAGGATTTCTCGATGATTACACATAGTAGCTAGTTCGTTAAAAGCGAACGTTTTATCAATCGGTCAGCAACGTTATCTGTTAAGTGTTTCGAGGTGTAAAATGTTAGTAAAAATTTCACCGAGGAAAGTGGGCTACTGGCACACTTCTAGGAATAGTAATTCAGTATAATGGTATGTTATGGTATTATGGTTTTTATCAGATTGTTCTCATTTCTTGCTGCACTTTTTGAAACTAATAGCATCTCAATGTAAATACTCCTTTATTGTCTAACATACTCCTGCGGATAGCAAATTTGTGTGAACCAGGCATGTTTCTACCTTGTGCATGTCATACCTATAGACTGGGACTATACACTAATTACATTTATTGATCGATGGTCAGCATCGATCAACTGCTTGTTTGATCGATTTCAGTGAAGTGTTTTAAACAAGCTCATCTTATTAATGAGGGTTCTTCTCTGGATTTAACTGTCAAGTGACCCAATGTCATTCATTCATAACTGATGTAGGATCTGTCACGGAAGATCATCCCAGGTTTCTACATCACAGCAGCTCATCACGATAAACTTAGAGAGACTCGTAACAAGAGCTGAAGTTATAATAAGATGTAGGATAGTGAAAAAGATTAAATATAGAATGTTTCTAAAATTAAGAGTAAGATTAAACAATGAAAAGTTTGAAACCGTGAAAGCCACTGTCTAGAGAAAAATTAAGAACCCACACATCTTCACCAATGTGGCAGATTCTGATTAGTATCATGCAAAGTCTTTAACAATTGATTACATTTACCATGCGTAGCCTAAGGAGGTAGCTTGCATCTTTAAGCATGGCTCAGATCAACAGTCTATGACCTCATGGACAGACTTCATGTCTTGGTTTGCCCGCCCTAGCATTGCTCAAAAATAAGTCATGTAGAAAGCTAACATTTATGTTCAATAAGTTGAGATATCGATCAACTATAGGCATTTATTTTTATTCATTTTTTAACGAACTTCCGTCTCGGAGTAACTTCGTACATGAATTTCACTCTTGAGATAAATCTAAAGGAATGTCAACGATGTATGTGATACTAGATTAAATTGATTTCATTGAATTTTGCTCATTTTATAGTTTGCACTAATTAATGGGTGTAAAATCTGCTCTAGATCGGCGGTCAGAGCACCAGACTTTCAACTGCTGTGATTCAAATTAGAACGACATTTACCTACTTCACTTTTAAATGACCGTTGCTACAATCTACTTTTATGCCTGAATATTGGCTCAAAATCGAGTGCATAAGCTCGTTTTTGTTTACTGAGAAACGTATCAAATGTTGGCTAATCAGTCACGCAAATAAATTCACACAAATACATAACCATAAAATACGTTGAATTTTGTAATTCTCTAACCGCACTGAGTTCATTGTCTACAATCCCTACGGTCCTGTTTATATTTCCACCACTTATTCAGTGATTTTGTAGGATTCGAGTGTCATTGATGACCCAATATCATCAACATTTTCTTATTTGAAAAAAATAATGATAATATTATTATAAAATGTTTTCCTACCCATTTTTATAGACCTTTTTTCACATATCTAAATTTAGGCTAAACGTGTTGTTCAATCTTCTATACTCTGTCCTTCGTATGTTGAAATATGTGCCTTAGACAACATTAATCAGCTCCAATTTCTTATGTTTTCACAAAGTTTCAATTAGTAATAAGCAACATGGAATGTGTAGTATGTCTGGGTTGGTTCAAGGTTCCACATCATATCAACGCAGAAAGCTGTAATTATCAAGCCAAACATCAGTAGTACAAGTAATGGCATCGATAAGGGTAGGGAAGATTAGGTATAGACAATATAATTTAAAAGGAAAGAATTAAATTGTAGGATAAAGAGTGAATCTGTCTTATTGAGACCAATTTGAAGTCATATCATTTAATGTCTCTGACCGTTGATTAAGGTAATCGTGCTGATGCTAAACAAGTAGTCTGGACTTACCTATACGACTCAATCTGGGTAGACGGTTATAAAGCCCCACTGGATTTCTGTTAAAGTTAACACAAATTCCTACTGTTTCGAGCTTTAGTTCATTTCAGCGTTTTAAAAAGTGTAACAAATATCACAAAATTCATGTAAATTATCACTTTAAAAGATTTTTTCATGAAAATCATTTCTAGTAGTAACGTTTTTTGTTCGGTATATTTACAAAACACAACATTCGTCCTTTAAATATTAATGTTTTAAAGATATTTATAACATGCATTGAGATAATTATTAAATTTCTTCGACGAACTCAGGTATAGGATTCATTTAACTATTTTACTGGCCGTAAAAGTATGTAGCGAAATTTATCAAGTTCTGGAAATTTCTATGTGATTTTCTATTGATTGATGATTCAAGTTGGATTTTGAAATCACTGAACTATTATTTCTAAAAGCCAATGAAAGCAATTCATTAAGAACCACTGTTTATCATTACTTTTTTCAACAGCTTTCTCGACTTTATCAAATAAGATTATCAATATTTTATTCAACCTTGGCATAATAAGGGTAGCTTTTCGATGCTAATATCTATTGAATCTCTAGAAGAACTGTTCATCAGAATTTTCCTTGTAATTGCTTTATATTTACAGTTGTTCGTAAGAATATGCTACTTACATTTTTAGACTATCATGTTAGTACTGGTTTTATAGCCTTCACTTTCTTTGATTTGTATTGGTGACACTTGAAAGTAAAATTTCTGTTACTACTTCTACTACTAATACAGAGTCGAATGGAGTATAGAAATCTTTTTTTAAAGGATTTTCTACTTCTTTTTTGCAAATGGCTCAACGTTGGAAACCCTCTGTTATATTAGTTTTGACTTTTGCTTTCTTTTAACTGTATGCATTTTAAATTATAGTGTTCTAGT